TATTTAATGTTTAATAATTCTATAAATATAGTTTAAATTGTTAAAATATATTTAAAAATCTAAACTGGTTTTAAGGTTTAAATCTAACACTCATAATCTTTTGCTTTGTATTAATTTTAGTCCAGGAGATCATAATCGTTATTTCATATTGTAGTGCAGGATCTATATTATTTTATAAATAAAATTGAAATCGTAATTTATAATTTAGTAAACCAGTTTCAAGTTAAAAAATGCAACATATTGAATAGTTTTTGAGAATATTTATATTGTATCTCAAAAATTAATATATTGAATTTAATGCTACCCTGTATAAGTAGCAAAAAATATACTATTACCAATATTTTTCTATTTATTAATTCGATTATTTCTCCAATAAGTTTTTACATGTGATTCTGTCCATTCATCAGATTCAGCACCAAGTTGTGAAAGGATTTCAGAAAGTTTATTGTTAGGAAAAACTTTGTCAGAAAGAATAGGTTCAAGTATTTTTTTTTCTTTTTCAGTAGTTTGATGTTTATGACGTGGTTTTTTTATATCAACAGTATTTGGTTGAGATACTTGTTTTTTGATTTTTTTAATTTTAGATTTGTCTATTTCTTGCAAATTTTGCTATTTATAAGTTGTAACATTACATGCTCGGCGACCTTTTATATTTTGAATTTCAGTTTTGCGAACATCTTGTTTTAAAATTTTATAAAGCCGATCAATACCTTCTTCATAGCATGAAAATAACCGTTAAAACCCTGTTTCATAAAGTTCTGGAGCATTAAGAAAAAGTTCATGTAACGAATCAGGTTAAGAAAATGCATTTACTAAATCAGATATAAGCTTCCAAAAAGCTTCTTTCCGGGAGTTTATCATTCTTTCTTCTTTAATATAAAGTTTATCGCTAACATATTCAGATATTAGCAATTCTAATCATTCTCTTTCTCCTTGTATGGAAGACATTTGTAACTTTAACTCTTCATTTGTTAATCGCTTGCCACTAATGTTTTGCTTGATGAATTGGATACCAAATCTTTCTAACGCTTCATCAAATCCAAAATAATGATCTTCATGTGTAAGGTTAACTGAACACACGTATTGAAGAAGTTTTTGAAAGCTAATATCTTTCTCAACATAGAACAAAAAAAAGGTAATGGATCGAGTATAATTATGTTTTCCTGTTACAGGAAAAAGCGGTGAAAAGGCAGCAAGATTTCTAAATTGCATATTAAAATTACCCTTCCTAATTCCGATCTTATGACTTAACCAATACGCTCCCCAACAAAAATAACAATACTATACTTTTGCAATTTTATTTGTTCTATGTATAATATCTTGTAATGACTTTTCTTGTTTACGGGTATATTAAACAAGTGCACACCCAACTGCAACCCAAATTAGTTCTAGCACTCTACAAGTTGCAGAGTAATCAACTACCTTTTCTAATTTATCAAGATGAAGTACTCCCAATCGAGCAGATAAGCCAAAAATACCATATCCAGAAAAAAGTGTAATTAGCACACTGCATATATTCTTCGAAGTGTGCCATTGTCCTAACAATAATCTAATCTGTGGATTATTTTCTTTATAAGATATTAAGCGTTTAAATAAAGTCTCGTAACAAACAATATCAATATTGTTCGAATTATCTAATCTGACATCATCAAAGTACATTACACAGGCTTGATGCACATTTGCATTACAGTTAGGATTTTCTCCAGGTTTTAATATAACTACGTTAGAGGGTAGTATTTGATATCCGAGCGATACATTTTTTCTAATTTCATTAAATATATTGTCAATGTCCCAATCATTTAATTTGGTTTGTAAAAGTTGAATAAAAATATCTTCATAAAGATCCAATAAATTTTTAGTAAATAAAGACTCGCCAAATAAGGGCTGCATTAAATTATCATTATTGTTATCATGATTGTTAATAGAATCTTGAGCAATAATAGTTTGAATCGGGATTGGAAAACTAAATTGAAAGACCATTCTTATGGTTGCATGAAATATAACTCGAGAACTATCATATATATTTCCATATGAAAATGATTTTTCAGCAAAATCAATATTATCTATAACACAGATATTCCACACATTTTTTTCTCTAATTAATCTATTTTCTGGTTTTGATCCACTTAAACGAATTTTTCTAATTGACGTTCATAACGTTAACTATGAGAAATAATTCCTGCTGAATAAAGAATTGCGTACAAAGAAGATATCATCTTGGGTTTACGAATTAATGAACTTAAAATATAATGAAGCCACAAATTTGTAGAAGGTGAAGTGATATTTATAATCATAGAAATAAGAAAAATTGAAACTTTTATAGCGTGTAATTTGTCAAAATCAAGAATTGGTAAATTACGACTTGCTCTTTTGTAGTTATTAGCCTTGTGTTTTTTTATATGCAGAGTAATAATCAACGATGTAAAAAAAGATATCAAAAAAGGGAGAAATCCACTATGATATTCTTCTAATGATAATGGTAATTCAAGTTTTGATTTATTTTAGCATATAAAAGATCGAGACTTCCAAATTTCAATTCCTAATTGTTCACCAATTTTTTCTGAAGCTTCTGGAGTAAATTCGAAACATTCATTAGAATGTGTAGAAAAATCTACATGCCCAATTTTAAATATTGTTTTGAGAAGAAAGAGATTTACGGGCTTTATAGAACATTGCGATTGTGTTTCTTTGTTAAACATTACAAGTATTGTTGATAACCATGCTAATAAATCCTTTTTTTTATCATTATTATCTGTAATAGCAGTTTGTAAAATCCAGTTTCCAAAAATTTGAAGTGCCACAGTAATATCGTTTGTATGATTTACTTCACAAGTAAAACTATGATTTTTTCCTTGTTCTATATGTTCATAAAAATGACCACCATGTTTATTAAAACATTGTGAACATATATATCGAGTTCGATTCTCATTATCTGACTTTTTAAGAATCGTATTTAAAATATTTTCCTCTTCAAAAACAGGACAAACTTTAAGACCAGAGCAGGGTACTTGCACATTTCTGCCAACTACGCATACTGTATGTTGTATACAATTTTTTCCACGACTAAAAAAAGTTCTAAATTTGTTGCAAAAAAGACAGCGCTTGATATGAACCCAGCTTTTTTCAATTGAACGTTCTTGTTTGAGACGTGGTAAGTGAAGCTTGAAAGCATCATAGAAAAAATGAGATGAACAAACTCCCAAGCTATGCAGTTGATTGCTACTTTTGGCTTTGTCAAATGTGTTCTTATCTATTTCCCATGTACCGATAAGTTGTTTAAGGGACGTTGGTTTAGTGCTATATCGCAGCATTGCTTACTGTAAATTGACCATTAATGAAATCTAAAATAACACAAGGCGATAGATGTGTGTTACTGCTATTAGCATTTTCCAATGCTATACTTTCATCATATGATAAAGTCGATGTTGATTCTAACTCTGTAGAAAATATCGAATCTACTTCAAATTCATCATTTTCCCAAAAGGTATCATAACAAATTTCTTCGTTTTCAGCAAAAATTCTGGCTTTTTCGAAGCTCATCTTATCCAAAGTAAATGTATCAATATTATCGAAATCACGATTATTGCTTCCATCATAACTTCCAGACATGTAACTTGTAGTTTCATCACCAAGTATATCATCATCATCTATACTTTTGTACCCAACCTCACTGTTATTAATGAATTCATTAAAAAGGAGCGCACTTTTCAAATTTAGACCCTCATTTGTTGGCGATTCTGGTATAGAAGTTGTCATTATGCTATATAAGATAGTGTCTGGGTATAAGTTTTGAGAATATAAAGCATATGAATAGCAGAAAAGACTTAACGAATTATATTTATAAGATTTTTAGAGTATCAATGTTGAAACATTTGGCTCAAGAGTAAAAAAAAAAAATGCCTCAAAACACAAATATCGGTATAGGATCAGATTACTAAAGAATCAGCGTGAGACTTGATATATTGATATGTATAGGGAGGCCACCACTACATCAAATTATTTGACAGATGCATGCATATCAATATATACAAACTTAGCAGAAACCTTTGTATCGGTATGTTAATGTTAATATTTAATATCGATATTGTAAGTAAATTAAGAATGTCTTTGTACTTTGAATGATCCTAAACCAAATTGGATCTAGCTTCTTATATATCATGCAGCATTTTCAAATATCGGTTTATTTCTTGCTTTGTTTGCATTGTACTTCTGACGAAATTTTTTTTTTTAATCCTTTCTATTAGGAATGCCAGTTGGCGTACTTTCGACTTTAATATCCTATTAGTGTTATCTTTCCTTAATCTAAGCGCCCTTTTGTTGCACTAACATGCTTTGATCAGTTGAAAAAAAACCAATCAATTTACTAATCCTTTATTTTCTTTTATACCACTATTTTGATTATCTTCTACTTCGAAGAACAATCATAATTATATCAATTGATTACAAATACGAAACTGATAATAACAAATAATCATCTAATATTAATGCTATTGTTGGTTAGAGTTAGAGTTGCACCCAAACTTACTAGTTTGGAATTACGTTTGTTTTTTCAACCCAGATTTCATGTTGATAACGATAATACAAAATTATTTAGCGTTAGCGTTAGTTCTCAAGCTAAACCTGTATTTGTAGTCATTTGATCATTTTTAGAGACCTTACATTCATTCTTCAAGACACAATTTCCATTTTCATAACGATAACCATAGCCAACATTAATATTTTCAAGATCGTATCCCATGTCGGCAGCCTTCTGATAATATTCGAACATTTTTCTATTATCTTTGTCAACTCCAGTTTCTTTTTCATAACAATAACCAATATTATCTATTCCTTCATTAAGGCCATATCAGCAGCTTTTCAATAACATTCAAACGCCTTGCACTTGTCTTTCTCTATTCCAATTTTGCAACGAATAACAATCATCAAGATTATATGTTCCGTTGGCATCACCCTATCAGTTGCTTTTTAAAAAAAATTCAAATGCATCCTACTCATTCTATAACTCAACTCCATTTGAATGACATTTAATAATCCATTAGCATCCCTATCGTATCTCTATTAATTTTTGATAATACTCGAATGCTTTGTTCTTATCCTTTTCGACTCTTGATAACAATATTCAACATTGTATGTCCAATTAATATTTCACATCTTTGTTGGACTTTGATAATACTTGAATGCCTTTTTCACATCTTTTCAACTTCGATTCTATTGATATAACAGTTATCAAGTACAAATATTCCATAAGAATCCCTGATATTAGAAGTGTCTTTTGAAAATATTCAATTGCTTTGCGTTTATACTTATCGATCTCAATTCTATTCTGATAACAATATCCGACTTGACACAGTCTTAGAGGATATAGCAGATTTGTGATCATCCTTGCGTTAGTCCTTATCAACCCGTTTCTTCTTGGTTCTTGAGTTTGATACTAGTAATTGAAAACGGGAGACATATTTGGGTTTTAATAAAGAACCCAAATCAAATAGAAATGAGTGACGCCAAGTAAAAGCCTGTAAATGTTATAAGAATTTTGGTTTTCATTTGTCGTCACTCAAATCCCAATTCCCAAACCCTAATTCAAAAATATGGTTTGGGCCGCAACCCTAGTTAGAGTTGTGTTCACATGCTCACACGGACCCATGAGTCCATAAGTTTGCTTTCTTAGGAATACTATAACGAATTTTGGATGAGCGAGGATTGTGGTGAGTGTGGTGAGTTGATCTAACATTTGTAAGTCAGTCACATGTCGCATCAGCCAATCAAATTTCGAGTGTAATTTCGTCAAAATGCTATTTTCAAAATAAGATACTTCAAAGGCTTTCAGCGTAATAGAAAAAATATATAAATAGATTAAAAATATGAAATAATAAAAATTTTTTATTATCATAAAGATTGTCAGTTATGTTGTAAAATACCAGTGTTAGCTTAGAAGCGAAAACTATCTTTTTTTACAAAACATATAAATCGTTATATAATTTTATATGTGCTGTGCCTGCAGATCCCTTAATTAAATCATTACCCTAAAAATTTTCTGACATTATCACAATTTGTAAATCGGTCACGTCAACCAATTAAATTTCGAGTCTGATCACATCGATAGTCTCAAAACGCCATTTTCAAAATAAGATACTTCAAAGGTTTTTGGTGTAAGAGGGAAAAAATATAGATTATATAAAAATATGAAATAATAAAATTTTTTATTATAATGAAGAAATATTACTTGCA